CATCTCAGCACATCTGAGTTGTTTTCTGCTTTGTCATTTCAAACGGTGATCTAACAAACCCTTTTTACATATTCATCTTTAGCTATTTGTGTATACATCTCTTTGTGGGAAGGCATTCCTAAAAGTGGAATTGCTAAATAGAATGGAGCAAGCATTTATTTCAGTTTTGATTGAATTGTACTTATGCTTTGGTTTTTGTTGTTTAGCATCTTAAACACTGACAAGATTCAAAAACCAAGAGTTGGCCAAAAAAAGTGCAGAGTTAGCTGCTCTTATCCCTCTCCCTTCCCTGGCCACTCCTTTTCCTTTTTCTCTTTGTACAGTCCTGGGGTTTGAACTTGGGGCCTGGGCACAGTCCCTGAGCTTTTTGGCTCAAGGTTGGCGCTGTATTTGAGCCACAGCTCCACTTTCTAGCTTTTGATAGTTAGTTGGAGATAAGGACTTTCTTGCCTAGGCTGGCCGTGAACCTCTATCCTCAGATCTCAGCCTCCTGAGTTGCTAGGATTTTAGGTGTGAGCCACTAGTGCTCAGCCTTTTTCTTTTTATTCCCCACCCCCAAAATATTGGTACATTTCAAATATTAGAAGATAGCATGCATTCTTCGCCTCCTCGTCCTGTGTGTATTTACAGCACTTTGAGGTATCTGTTTGGGTTTGCTGAATCTTTCCAATTTTTTTCCCTTATATGTAACCCAGGTTGGCCTCAAACTCTCAATCCTTCTGCCTTAGCCTCCTGAGTTCTGGGATTACAGGTATGTGATACCATGCTTCCTAGGACCTTTATATATGCTCAAGGAGAGAAATCAAGAAATGAGACTACTGTTCACATTTTCAGGTAGCTGTCTCCCATGTCTCCCACACCCTACAAAAGGGCAGAGCAGGCCAAGAACATAGGCAAGCTAAAATAATAAGCAGAGGCAGGGAAATCTGAGTTCTAGGACCCAAGAGGCTCTAGGTAGGCAAGTGCTTTGGACATATTTTCCTACCATACAAGGACTCCAGGCCTATGGCATTTTTGCATTCTCTCTTCTGCAGTGAATTATTGTCAGGTCCCTTCTGCTCTAGACTAGGTGCTTAGTGTAGTAGGTAGGAAGATGAAGAGCCTGTGTCTGTGCATCTCGGAGCTCATAACTAGTGTGTGGCAGCCTTCAGATCTCCTCCCCACCCCTTTAGAGCTCTGTCTCCAAACCCCTGTTGTGCAAAGTTTCCCAGACTCCTCTCCGTTATTTGTTTTCCAGTCACCAAAACTCATCTTGTCATCATAATTGTGCTTGATAAGCCAGGCACCAGTGGCTTACACCTGTAATCCTGGCTACTCAAGAGGTTGAAATCTGAGGACCATGGTTCAAAGCCAGCCTGAGCAGAAAAGTCCATGAAGCTGTGGTTCCAAGTGGTAGTGACACCCTGGAGTGAAAAAACTCAGGGATTTTGCCTAGACCCTGAGTTTAAGCCCCAGTACTGGCATAAAAAACAACAGGGCTGGGATGAAGCTCAGTGGTAAAGTGCTTGCATAGCAAATACAACAAAAAACAAACCAAGATGGGTGCTCGTGGCTCATGCCTATAATCCTAGCTACCCAGGAGACTGAGATTGGAGGATCACAGTTCAAAGCCAGTCCAGGCAGAAAAGTCTGTGAGAGACTTTTTTTTTTTTTTGGTTGGTCATGGGGCTTAAACTCTGGGCTTGGGCACTATCCCTGCAATCTTCAGCTCAAGGCGAGTGCTCTACCACTTGAGCCATAGCACCACTTCCAGTTTTCTGAACGACTTTTCTGCCCGGGCTGGCTTTGAACCGTGATCCTCAGATCTCATCCTCCTCAGTAGCTAGGATTGCAGGTGTGAGGCGCAACTCTTATCTCCAACAAACTATTCAGAAAAAGCCAAAAGTGGCCCTGTGGCTCAAGTGGTAGAGGGCTATCTTTGAGCAAAAGAATCCCAGGGACAGTGCCTAGGCTCTGAGTTCAAGCTCCAAGACCGGTAAAAAACAAAGCAATTAACATCCCCCCTACCAAAAAATAACAAACAAAAAAGTTTCTACTGGTTGATCACCCATGACAATTGCTTCACTAATAGTTCTTGAAAGCAGGTTTCAGTCTTGAAACATATTACCCGTCCCTAGGGCCTAATATGGGCCTGCACTTTACAGGTGCTTAGTAAATGATTTGTTGAGTGGCCAAAGGTAGAAGCATGCTGGGACGGCTCTTGTGCAGACAGTATCTATGTGTTAGTCTCTTGAATCTTTTCTCTAGAAGCCTCATTCTTGCTCTACCTTTCCTCGGTGCTACTTCTTTTTTTTTTTTTTTTTGGTCCAGTTGTGGGGCCTGAACTCTGGGCCTGGGCGCTGTCCCTCAGCTCTTCAGCTCAAGGCTAGTGCTCTACCTCTTGAGCCACAGCGCCACTTCTGGCCTTTTTCTTTTTGCTTATGTGGTGCTGAGGAATCGAACCCAGGGCCCCATGCATGCAAGGCAAGCGCTCTAACACTGAGCCACCTTCCCAGCCCTCGGTGCTACTTCTTAGTACAGTTGTTTATTAATTTCTCCCCTGCCCGCCATTTCCATCTTCCCTACCAGTCTGTTTGCTCTCAGACCCCCTCCCAGTATAGCCCACCACCTCAACACACACACACACACACACACACACACACACACACACACACACACACACACACACATCCTGTGCAGGCTGATTGGTATCTGTTAATTAATGTCGCCTAAGGCCTCTCTTCTACCCAGGGACCTGATAAGGGGAATTGGATGTCCATCTTTTATTACCACCCAGCTCCCTGGACACTGTAGGCTCTTGTGCCAGGAATCCGGATAGCACCACACACACGGCTGACACCTCTCTGTCCCAGCCTCTCCCCTGAGGAGATATATCTATCAATGGTTGCCCCTGTTGCCCTGATCTCTGGTTGGTCACCATGGAGTCCTGTAGCCAGATGGTGATCCAAGGCCCAAGTTGTACAGATAGGCTATTGAACATGGAAAATAGAGGGTCAAGGTAGCCTGTGCCCTTGGTATACCCTTGAGGGTGAAGGGACAAGGTGCTGGGTAGGAAATAGAGAGAGAGTGCAGAAGCCCCAGGAGGGAGGCCGTGGAGGGCTGGACCACTCAGACTCCAGGCAAGTCCAGAAGAGAAAGGTGCAATGCCACCAGTGTGTAGCATAGTGGCAGTGAGGGTCACTGCACTCAGGGCCAGCACTCTGCTGAGACCTGGCAGGTGACCACATGTACGCTCTCTTTGTCCTTAAGGCACCCCCACATCAGAAGGGCATCTAAGCAGGGCTAGGTCCTGTGTCAGTGACTTTCTTCATTGATGCATTTAATTACCTTGAAAAAACTAAAATTTGTTCAAGTTGTGCACGAATGGCTTTGTGAATCATCTCCTTTAGTACATCTAGCATGGTCGGAGTTGGACTTAGCCTCTAGTTTTGGGATGAGTCTCCAATGAGTCCTTGTATGTGATGGTAAGCAGTGTGAAAAATCAGTGGACTAGTCTGCTTTTCACACCCTTTCATAAATCAAGTTATTAATTGACTTTTTTGGTGTGTGTGTGCCTGCGCCACTACTGGGCCTTGAACTCAGGTCCTCATGCTCTTAGCTTTTCTGCTCAGGACTGCTGCTCAACTACTTGACTTACTCTTCTGCTTTCAGCTTTTTGCTGGTTGTGTGATTGTTTTGTGCCAGTTCTAGGGCTTGAACTCAGGGCCTATGGACAGTGCCCACACCCTGAGTTCAAGCTAGCTTGAAGCTACCTCTTGTGCTCAAGGCTAGTATTCTAACATTCAGATCACAGTTCTATTTCCAGCTTTGGAGATGAGTTTCACAGACTTTCCTGTCTGGTCTGGCCTTGAACCACAGTCCTCAAACCTCAGCCTCCTGAGTAGCTAGGATTACAGGCATGAGCCATTGGCACTTAGCTATTCATTGACTACCTAAGTTACATTCATAGCCAGCGCAATGCCAGTTTGCCATCTTTATCTGTCAGGTGAAGACCTCACCGTTAATAAAGGCTTAGCACCAGCTTGCCTGTTCCATGATCACAGTGATGTTTAGTGCTCACAGCAGCTCTGAGCAGCATCCACACTGAGGCTGGTCTCACAGGCAAAGGCTCAGGTTACTAAGTCCAGCTAACAGCCCCAAGCAGCCATCACAGCACACTGGACAGGACAATGTCAGGATTCTGGCACCTTCCCAACCCTGAGTCACCTTTCACTATGGAGTCCGCCATCATAGGAGGGGGAAGTTGCGGCGACTCAGTTCCCAGAACAGAACAGCTAGGTCATCATGAAGAAAGAGATAGCCTGGGCCCAGGGCTCCACCCCTGAGAGCACAGGCTGCCTGTGAGAGAAAAATGCCCCGGACCCTGGAGGCCTTGACCTCCTAGCACCCCCAGCTTGTGGTGGCTGCCCCAGGCCCGAACAGCTGAGTCCTCATTGCTGGCTGGAGACCCGGCATTAGGATCAGGGCTCATTTTGAAGCACAAAGTCCCCTGGCCCAGCATGAGCATTGAGAGAGAGAGAGAGAGAGAGAGAGAGAGAGAGAGAGAGAGACAGACAGACAGACAGACAGACAGACAGACAGACAGACAGACAGACAGAGACAGAGACAGAGAAGAACCTGGAAGCTTCCTAGAGTAGAAGAGCCCTGTACTGCCACCTCCTGATTTTGCTCTGAATCCAGCAAACTCTTAAATTACAAAGGCATTTAATTAATCAGAATGCCTCTTGGAAATGACACTTGCAAAATACCCTTAAACTAACCCTCCTAACGATAATAACTGTCAACATTGACTGAGCCCTTGTGATGTAAACCTTTCCCATGAATTCCAGCATGACTCACACACCAAGGAAAGGACAATGAGTCTGGCAGTGGCACAGGAATCTTCTGCCCCTGAGCCTGACCCTACTCTGCCCCCCAGTGAGTCCTAGGAGGCACCTGCTCTCCCCTACCTCCTCCCTCCCACTCCTGACCACTGTCTCCCTTCCCCACTCCTCCTACAGGCTTCTCAAGTCTCTCACTTGGGGACCAGATGAGCCTGCTTCAGAGCGCCTGGATGGAGATCCTCATCCTGGGCATCGTGTACCGCTCGCTGCCCTATGACGACAAACTAGTGTATGCGGAGGACTACATCATGGATGAGGAGCACTCCCGCCTGGTGGGGCTGCTGGAGCTCTACCAGGCCATCCTGCAGCTGGTGCGCAGATACAAGAAGCTGAAGGTGGAGAAGGAGGAGTTTGTGACCCTCAAGGCCCTGGCCCTGGCAAACTCAGGTATTGGGGGGGGGGGGGGGGGGCGTGTCTCAGCATGCTGGGATCTGTAGGAGAATCTGCAGGAGCCTGCAGGGGCCTAGCCAGGAGTGTCTAGCATGGTGAGCAGGGATGTATGAAATGGGGAAGAGTTGAGGGGAAGATGCTGATACCATGCTCACCAAAGACTGCACGGGTGGCACGAAGTTGAAGCAACACTGATGAAGGCTAGCATTGGTTGAGTGTTCTGTAGGCCTTGATATCCAGGCCAGCGCCTTAGGGAAAGTATAAAGATCCTAGAGCTGGTCACTAAGGTTCAAATCCACAACTACCACCCAAGCAAATTGCTTTGCAGTTAAGATGAGGACAGTGAGCAGCTTTTATTCCACAAGACTATTAGAGAGGGTGTGTGTGTGTGTGTGTGTGTGTGTGTGTGTGTGTGTGTGTGTGTGTGTGCGTGTGTGTGCGTGTGTGTGCGTGTGTGTGCGTGTGTGCGCGCGCGTGCGCGCACATGCCCTTGGTAGGGCTTGAACTCAGGGCTTCACAGTCTCACTTGGCTTTGTTTACCTAAGGCTGGTGTTCTACAACTAGAGCCACATCTCTACTTTTTTTGAACTGCAACCCTCAGATCTCAACCCCCTGAGTAGCTAGATTTCCAGGCATGAGCTGCTAACACCCAGCTCGAAGGCATTTGCCTGTATATTTGTATTCACATATATACCTGGCACATACACGCGCAGTTTGCTGAGGTGGCTCTGAATTTACTTCTTTTTTACAAACAGTCCCGTGAGCAAAGTTATTGCAACCCCATTTTACAGATGTGAATACTGAGGCCAGGAAAATCACACAGTTCACCCATGGCAGTTAGAAGTAAAAACCAACATTGTCTAATTCCAAAATCAGCCCTGGCTTATACCAACTCTTTGATTCTTTTCATCCACTGCCATCTATCTACCTATTGTGGCACTACTGGGGCTTAAACTCAAGGCCTAGGCCCTTTCCCTTAGCTTTATCACTCAAGGCTGATGCCCTACCACTGAGCCACAGCTCTACTTCTGTTTTCTTCTTTTCTAGAGATAAGCTAGTTAGAGAAAAGAGTCTCACAGAATTTCCTACCTGGGCTGCCTTTGAACCACAATTCGCAGATCTCAACCTACCTAAGAAGTAGCTAGGATTATACATGTGACCCAACAGTGGCTGGATCTATTACTCTTTCTTAACCTACTTCACCAGCATTTGAATATACTCTGTGTCCATACTTCAAGCACCTCCACGCTATGTAGGGTGTTGGGGTTACCACAGGAGAGGACACTCAAGGTCCCTTCTTGAAAACAGGTGTCAGAATGCCTGTCCACAAGGATGCAGGATAGTATGTGGCAAAATTAATTGCTCTAGTCTGGGTCAGGTCCACAGATCCAAGTTCAAGGTTTTCCCCCAAATTCAAATGATATCTCTGACACTAGCAGTGTAACCTGGGGTTAACTAAATGTCCTTGTGTGTTCAATGGGGCTCTTTCCCATTATCTCCTCGGAGCACTTCTGTGAGCATTAAAGATAGAAGATAATTCCAATAGCCCAGTGTTTTGCCTAGGGGGAAATATTGGGTAAATATTAATTATTGGTGTTACTCTTCCAGTGTTAAGAGGAAACAGTGTTGTCCATTTGTGGTAGGAGAAAGCAGGATCCGGGATGGAGACATACAGCTGATTTGCTCTATAGGATGGACTTTTACTGAAAAAGCACCACAGCCAGGAAAGCCCTCAGCATCTGGAAAACTGGCATGGTGGATCATCTTAACACACGTGGACCTTTGAGCGTCCAGGGACATTCTTACTTATCCTTCACCCAGCTAGTGGTCCCATCCTTACTTCCCTGCTGAGTCTTCCAACTAAAAGCTCTGACTGCCCCAGCTGAAAGTCTAGACTAGAGCTGGACAGCAGAGCAGGCTGAGCCGTGGCTCTCTTACTCCTTCCCTGTATTTCCTGTCTCTCTTGTTCTGAGCACAGCCTTCTACTAATCCCAGAGCCCTAACACCTGTCTTGGGCTCTGCTCCTGGGGAACCTGACCTAATTCAGATGAGGATACAGCTTCTGCTCCTTTTTATTAGTAACAACGGAAGGCCAAATAGTAGTTGGAAAATATTACACAATTCATTTATATATCCAGATTCCAAAAGTGTAATGGATTTGTTGGTGGCTACTAAATGCTGTATTTGAGTGTTTTAAGTATTATAGATTTACAGAATAGCTGAGGATAAAGCAGAGTTCTATGTGTTACTCAGCCATCTCCTCTCTTAAAATCAGTGAAGCAATTTTTTTTTTGTCAGTCATGGGACTTGAACTTTGGACCTGGACACTGTGGCTGAATTCTTTAGCTCTAAGCTAGTGCTCTACTACTTTAGCCACAGCACCACTTCCAGTTTTCTGCTGGTTAATTGGAGATAAGAGTCTCACAGACTTTCATGCCTGGGCTGGCTTTGAACTGTGATCCTCACATCTCAGCCTCCTGAGTAGCTGGGAGGCAGCAATTGTTTCCATTAACGAGAAGTGCATAGCTTCTGCTAGGTTTCACTGCATGTTGTACTCTTCTCCTCGTACTGTCATGTTTCTATCATAACGTGTAGAAGAACTTTAGCACCTCCCCTCCTTGGGCGTGGCCCTTTCCCAGGGAAACCTAAGATGTGTTTAGTATCCCAAGAGTCTGAATGGCAGAGGAGGAGCCAAAGCAGCTAGAGCAGAAGGTGGGTAGATGAGGTTCTAGATGGAGGCTGGCCAGGCATAAGATGTCAGATCCTCAATTTGGGACTCCCGACTAATTCATTCTAGAGCCGTGATTGGCTCTCAGTGCGGGAAGGCAAGTGTCCCCAGTGGGAAAAATGAGAACATGGACATAACCAGAGCAAGAGGTGAGACGTGACTTAGTCAGATTTAGCTCTTGGTGAAGGTGGGGGTAGGCCTTCAGTTGAGGAGGTGGCCCCCTAAGCTGGGCCAATAGCAAGAGAAGCCTGGTCATTGGGCCTTCCAGTACAAGATGGGTAGAAAAAGCAATGTGGTATCTTACTCAAGGGTACTGAAGACTAGGTTGGAACAAGGTCAACAAAGGGCCAGGCAATGTTACAGGAGCATGAAGAATCTGTAGCTTTGAAGCAGCAAAACTCACCCATGCTGAGGAGGGGTGGTGCAGGAGGCTACTAAGAAGTCTTGGTGGCATCACCTAGGCCACTGTGGGTGCCACAGTGACTAGATGGGGTGACAGAAAACTACCAGAGCCAGACTGGGCCCCAGATCCCTATGCCTTGGGGGCCTCTGGGCTGTCACTCACCCTGCATTTCAGCATCTCTAGGGTTCTGTGGTGGCAGGAAAAATTCATAGCCATTGATTTTGTAATTAACAGTTTATCAATGCCATCGATACAGACTTGCTGATGGATTGCAAAGAAATTAATCTTGCAATGTTATTTTATTTCATTTTTGGTTGAAGGCACCTGCCAATTGTAGCCTCCTTGGGGAGGTTGGGGGACGGTGATGGGATGGGGAGGGGAGCTGGCAGGCATCCCAGGGCCCGGCCACATTTTGAGTGACTTAGAGTACAGGAATAAAACCATGTTTCAGTGCTCAGTTGGCAGAGGAGTCCTGGCTGCCTTAGTGGAAAAGAACAGAAAAATATGGACGACACTTAGGTATGGTCTCAGTACTGCACTGCGGTGCCGGAGTCCCAATGACAATGATCATTGTGGCTCACACCTATAATCCTAGCTACTGCTGGGTGCTGGTGGTTCATGCCTGTAATCCTAGCTACTCAGGAAGCTGAGATCTGAGGATCATGGTTTGAAGCAAGTCCAGACAGGAAAATCCATGAGACTCTTATCTCCAGTAAACTATTCAGAAAAAGCCAGAAGTGGTGCGGTGGCTCTCAACTACTAGAGTGTTAGCCTTGAGCACAAAGAGGCTCAGAAACAGTGCCCAGGCCCTGAATTCAAGCCCCAGGACCGGCCAAAAACAAAACAACAACAAAAATCTAGCTACCCAGGAGGCTGAGTTATGAAGATATGGGTAGAAGCCAGCCACGGCAGCTAAATCGGACTCTTATCTCCAATTAACCAGCCAAAAGCCAGAAGTTACAGTGTGGCTCAAGTTGTAGAGTGTCAGCCATGGGTGAAAAAGCTAAACAAGAGTGAAAAGTCTTGAGTTTAAACCCCAGTACTGTCACAGAAAACAAAAAATAGTTTACAGATGAAACAATTTGAAAGAGACAAAGTAACTCAGCCAGTGTGAATCTTTTGTATGTAATTGTATTACTCCTCAGCCAAGAGAAAGGCTGGAAGGCCTCAGCTGGATGTAGACCCAGAAAGTCTGGTGAATCACCTGGGTGAGCCAGTTGATGCAGCTTCCCCTAGCAGTGTGGGATCTAAGCCAACCCAGCATGAAAAGGACTCACCTGCCCTTTCCTGAGAGATTCAGAACATTTACACAGCTTTCGTGCATAGCTCCCACTGTCCACCACTGCTGACACCTGGCAAGTCTTAGCTATGGTTAGGATGGTGGTCAGATATATTGAGGGAGGGCAGAAGGAAGAGAGTCCCTTTGCTTTGTTGGGCACAGACCTAACTGACCTGTGTCTGCCAGTGCATCCCTGCTCTGCTGGAATTTGTATTAGTCTCCTTCAACCTCAGTTTCATGGCCCCCAATTCAAAGCCCTCCCCACTGTTTTTTGTCAGTCATGGAGCTTGAACTTAGGGCTTGGGTGTTATCCCTGAGCTCTTTTACTGAAGGCTAGTGCTCTACCACATTGAGACACAGCTCCACTTCTGGTTTTCTGGTAGTTAATTGGAGATAAGAGTCTCACAGACTTTCCTTCCCTGGGCTGGCTTTGAACCTCTATCCTCAGATCTTAGCCTCCTGAGTAGCTCGGCTTATAAGAATGAGCCACCAGCACCTGGCCCAATTTTTTCTTTCTTTGAAGTATTGGGGATCAAGCCCTGGCTCGGCAAGATTCCAGCCACTACGTTATTCCCCCAGCCCTGCCACCAAGAACTGAGAACTCCCATTGGCTTTATTCATTACCCCATCCCACAATCCAGCAAAGGGCACTCCCGCCTAGAGTACAGGCCCTGTGTCTGTCTGTTTGTTCTGGAACCAGCAGGAGTATGTGGCTTAGTGACTGCACTGCAGGCTGGAGGAGCTGTTCCTGGTGCTGGGCATTCTCTTACCCAGCTACTCCTTTAACCTGGCCAAGTGTCACTATAGATATTATCCTACTTTCCAAAAGAGGCACAGAGAAGTTAAATAACTTGCCTAACAGCTAGCAAGTGCGGCTCACAGGATTCCAGCTCTGGTCCCTCTGGCACCTCCATCTCTGCTCAGGTTCAAATCCTCCAGCATCTCCACAGCTGCTTCCAGACGCTCTTTTAAGAATTGTTTCCCACCAGGCACAGGGGGCTCATGCTATAATCCTAGCTATTCAAGCTGAGATCTGACGATTAAGGCTCAAAGCCAGTGTGTGCAGAAAAGTCCATGAGACTCGTATGTCCACTTAAATAAAAAAGCCAGAAGTGGAGGAAGGACTCAAGCGGTAGAGCACCAGCCTTGAGCAAGAAAAGGTAAAGAAGAGTGTGCAGCTCGGAGTTCAAGTCCCAGTTCTGGCACACACACACACACACCACACACAAAGGCAATGTTTCCCATAGATGTGGATCTGTCAAATGTAGCCATTATATTTAATGTACTGTATAACTTGAGGATAGGAATTGGAGGAGGAAAATGGGAGAGAATGATGAAAGGGGTGACACTGACCAAGAAGCATTGCACTTATAATTTGACTTACGGAATTGTAACTCCTTTGAATAACTAATTGATGATGATGATGATAAGTGTTTCCTGTAGATGTGTATCTGCCCCCAAGCCTGAGCCCACTTGCTCTCAAGGCAGCAATCCCCAGCTGGGCCAGGCACTGACACTCTACTTGTCCTCATAGATTCCATGTACATCGAGGACCTGGAGGCAGTGCAGAAGCTGCAGGACCTGCTGCATGAGGCGCTGCAGGACTATGAGCTGAGCCAGCGCCACGAGGAGCCACGGAGGACGGGCAAGCTGCTGCTGACGCTGCCCCTGCTGCGGCAGACGGCCGCCAAGGCCGTGCAGCACTTCTACAGCATCAAGCTGCAGGGCAAGGTGCCCATGCACAAACTCTTCTTGGAGATGCTGGAGGCCAAGGTCTGATGGCCCCGCATATGGACCGAGAGACGGATGGACCTACTCAGAGACCTCCACAGCACCAGCCTCGTCCTCTGACCCCTACATCATGACTCTGTGCTGTCCCAGAGAAAGGGGTTTCCTGCTTCCGGCCATGTGTGAAGACTCCCTATGGGCAATGGGGACAGGGGACAGGGATAGGAGGGCAGGGGCCCAGGCTCACCTGCAATCTGTCATGGGCTATTTCTTTGGTATGTATTTCCTTCTCTGTGGGTAGCACTGAAGCCTAGGTCAGGGCTGACTCCCCTTGGGACTGGAGTCCACTGAAGGAAGCACCCCTACCCCGCCAAGCCACTAAGAGGCAGCATGTCCATTGCCTGGGCCTTCCATGTCCACAGCCTAGGAGGGAAGCACTCAGCATCCAGAACTCTGGCAGCTCAGGTTGGGAACCACTAAGGTACTCTCAAAGAGGGCAGGTCCTTGGAGCATCTTCCTGCAGAGTCTGCCTGCTCTGATCTCTTTGGGGCCCCTCTAGGGGCCTCCACACCTCCACAGTCCAGATGCCTCTCTGCCTCCCTCCCTCCTTCCTCCCAACCAGGAGCAATCGCTGGAGTTTCCTAGGCACCATTCTGTTCTCTCAGCTACCAGCCATTACAGTCCTGTGCCCCTTCTCACTCCCCCACCCCCAGCACCCCGTGGCTACTTCCTTCCCCTACCTCAGAGCTCAGAGATGACTTCAGGGTCTGTTGGTGGGAACAGGCTGCCTCAGAAGAGCAGGGTCCAGGCCTCGCCCTGTGCTTTCTCTCCACCTCCTCCACAGGGCCTGGCCCCATCCAGGGTACCCTGGCTTTGGCAGGTGGCTGGTGGTGCTGGGAGGGATATGGGAGGGTGGGGAGAGGCCCCAAGCTTTCTTTGTCAAGCACAGGAAGGTCACTAGCAGAAATAAGGTACAGGGTAAGCCTCGGAGAGGGATTTGGGACATCCAGCCTGCCTGGTCCCTGCTGGCAGTTGACACAAATGCCCTTCTGCTGCGTCCCAAAGGACAAGCAGATGGTACCCCCAGAGGGCGGCTTCCTGCCAGTCCTGAAATAAGGACCTGGGTCCCGCACCTGGGCCAGATCTTTGGCAGGGTCTCTGCACTCCAGAGCTGCTATGTAAGGTTGACCCGCCATCCTGCTTTGCCCAGGACTTTCATGCTGTGGCATGGGAAACCTCTCACTCAGACATTCAGGCACGGTTGGTTCTGTGGGTGACAGCCAAAGTCAGCTTTCACCCACTCAAGGAGTTCCTAATCCGTGCTCACGGGATGGCCATGCAGGGCGGAGCTCCTAACGGGGGAGGGTTCAATCCCGGGTGGAACACAGATCTGCCAGTCAGCTATCTTCTACACCTAGCTGGGAGACTTCAGGGAGTCCTCATTGCAAGCTAGCCAGAGGAGGTGGGCAGCTCTCAGTCTGCACTGGGACCTCTCTCTGGCCCCTCACTATTGTCTCCTTTGCTGTCAGCCCGCACAGTGCTGGGACATGCTGAGCTGCCACAGGAGGCTGGTGAGACCCCACTGCTGTGCAGAGCCCTGTCCTCTGTGGAGGTGGTCCCCCTCCCTGTGGAGAACCTGAAGTCTGAGTCACTGGAGGAGCTGATGCTGTAGTCAGCAGTGCCAGTCCTCTGGCTTTCCATGCCCACCACATTCACAGCAGAGGTGACTTGCTGGCATTTGGAATTCAGGCTGAATTCCAGCATACCGGTTAGGGGTAAGGGCCTGGCCAGCTGAGACTTCTTCATGGGAGAAGTTGGGGTATGCTCCTGGTGTTCCCCCCCCCCCCCCCGCCCCAGCCTTTGTGTGCATCTGAGGGGACAGAGGGAGATATTGCCAGGGATTCAAGTGCTCTGCTGGCTGGTCTGCCTGTGCCAGCCCCGGCTTGTGCATCACCCACCTTTGTGTCCTGTGTCTTCTGAAAACTGTTGGCATGAGCTCATGGTGTTGGGGGTGGGGAGCAGGGTGGCCTCCCCAATAGGAGCAACAGGAAGCAGGTGACAAGGGAGCTCCACCTATGGGAAAGCCTGTTGTGCAACCCGGCTGGGTCCAAGGGAGCTTCCAGAGAAAGTGGGGGTGACTTCATAGTTAAAAGCCTTGCAAGAGGTGGGGTCTCCTGGGGGAGGCTGGGGCAGGGCAATGGCTTAGTGGGAGCTCAAGGGGACATAACTTTGAAGAGACCCCCAAGCCCTCAAATAGAACTTAAGTTTATCCCAAATCTGCCATTTCTGGAAAAAGAAATCTGTAAGGAGGAAACAGCCCTTCTCAGTTTTAACTCTGAGACAAACCAAGAAATAAAACATAAAATCAACCATGGAGAAGGTGGTGCTCTCTGTCCTTTCTAAAGGTGCCCGATGGCTTGCTCACCAGTCCTCCAACTTTTGCATGCAGAAGTCTTTTCCGGGTAAGGGCCCTTCTCTCCAGATTTCCCTCCCCCCCTACCCCCGTCAGGGGCAGAAAAGAGACCAGGTGGGCGACAGTGTCAAGCTTGTGACTAGGAGACTGAAGGGCCCAGAGCTGTTGACCACAGAACAGCTCCCAAGAAAATCTCTGTCGAGAAAGTGCGTTCTTGTCTGATATTGATAGTCTAGCCAGAGTGGTTTCTTGAGATGCCAGCAGCACTGCCTCCTACCTCAGTACCCACTTCCATCTTCTCCATGTTCTCCCAAAGTGTACCTTCCCCCCAACCTTGATAGTCACATGGCCTAGGGGTCTCCTATCTGGTCCTGTGGATCTGGACTCTATCCAGGACCTAGTGGGGAGTATCTGTGTATTACCTGTCTAAACTGCCTTCTGAGTGACATTCCCCTCAGCCAGATGCTAGGAGAGGATTGAGGAAGTCTGGAGGGCAGAGGTGGGTTACATGGACATTTGAAAAGCATCATCAGTGCTTGCCTTGCATGCACAAGGCCCTAGATTCAATGCCAGCACTGCAAAAACAGAAGCAAATGTAGGGTCATAGCAAAACTCAGAAGTGTACTTTGAGAAGTCTGAGTCTGAGCAGCTCTTTGTAAGGTGCTCAGTAATTTCAGCAGTGCCAGAAAAATGGGACATCAATAGACATGAACCAGAAAGAGCACAGCCCATGTTTTAAGAGAAGCATAGGAGAGGGACGAGCAGCATTCCATTCAAGTAAAAGGTTATAGGAGTTTATTTGCTTTATACACACACACATTTCAGAAGTGGTGCAGGCATCAGGCAGGGTTTGATCCGGAGGATTGCAAAGTCAGAAGAATTAAGGCTCATCTGTTTTTGTTTTTGTTTTGCCAGTCCCAGGGCTTGAACTCAGGGCTTGGGCACTGTCCCTGAGCTTCTTTTGCTCAAGGTTAGCACTCTACCACTTGAGCCACAGGGCTCATTAAAAAACAACAACAACAAAACTCATTTCTGTCTGCTTCAGTTTGTCCTTGTCCTCACACTGGTCTATTCCATAGTAAGAGGCTGCTAGCTTTTTTGTTTTGTTTTGTTTTGTGAGTGTAATTTCATACAAGGAAATGTGGTAGGATCACATGGAAGTTGTTCAGCATAGCTAATGTGTAAGTTCACTGGGGGAGAGGAGGAAGGATAAATGTGGGAATGAAGGGCTCTAGCTTGTGGATTATTAGTAAGTATGTTTTCCCCCACTCTCGTACTGGGCATTGAATCCAGGTCCTCAAATATGCTAGGCAATTGTTCTACCCCTTGAGCCACGCTCCCAACACATATGTTTGTATTTTATTTCTTATATGCTCTTGCTAACTTTGCCTGGGCTGGCCTTGAACTCATGATCCTCCTGCCTCCACATCCTGAGTACCTGTGATTACAGGCATGAACTTTCCTTTTTTCCACTTTTCTTTTAAATTCTTTATTAAGCCACCCCAAACAATTCCCGTGTTTTAAATAGCTCTTAGTAAAGTACATTGTTTTGATTGGTCTGTTCCATCAGTAGCTGTTAATCTCTCAGTGTGCCTAATTTATAAATTAAACTTTATCCTGGATAAAGTTTAACCATGGATAAAGTTTGTATGCATAGATAGGAGAAAGCACTATCTTTGGCTTTCAGGCATCCATAATAAGAAATAGAGGGAAATGTATTTTTTAGAGGATATGGGCTGGCAATGTGGCTTAGTGGTAGCATGCTTGCCTAGCATGCATGAAGCCCTGGGTCTGATTCCTCAGTACCACATAAACAAAAATGCTGGAAGTGGCACTGTGGGCTCAAGTGGTAGAGTGCTAGCCTTGAGCAAAAAGAAGCTCAGGGACAGTGCCCAGGCCCTGAGTTCAAGCCCCATGACTGGCCAAAAAAAAAAAAGAGGATAAAGTGTTTGCATGTGATAAAGTATATGTGTGTGTGTGTGTGTGTGTGTGTGTGTGTGTGTGTGTGTGTGTTAGTTACTTGGGGCATGTGTCTGTGCTGGTACTGAGGCTTGAACTGAGGTCACTGTCCCGTAGCCTTTTTGTTCAAGGTTGGTGCTCTACTATTTGAGCCACACTTCCAGCTATTTGGTGGTTAATTGAATATAACTAAGAGTCTCACAGACTTTATTGCCCAGGGTATGTTTGAACCACCATCTTAAGATTTCAGCCTCCTGAGTGGCTAGAATTATAGGCATGAGCCACTGGTGCCCAGGTCTTAGTGGATAAAGTTTATTTTTATTTTTTTGGGTCCGGTCGTGGGGTCTGAACTCTGGGCCTGGGCACTGTCCCTCAGCTCATCAGCTCAAGGCTAGCGCTCTACCACTTGAGCCACAGCGCCACTTCCAGCTTTTTTCTTATGTGGTGCTGAGGAATCGAACCCAGGGCCTCGAGCATGCAAGGCAAGTGCTCTACCACTGAGCCACCTTCCCAGCCCTGAATAAAGTTTAAATTAGATTTGGATAAAGTTTAAATTTAGATTTGCAGAGGGGGCTTGGAGACCACCTTTGTATGTCTCTAGGAAGCTCGCTAGCCCTGGGGCTACACAGCTGCTTGGCTAGATTAGGCCAGCAGTTTACAAGTGTGTCCTCTGAAGAACACAGGCCTCCATCCAGAGACATCATTTATTATCACACTCAGGGGTGATGCTGGCATCGAGTGAGTAGAGGCTGTTAGACTTCCACCTGTGCATGACAGTCTCCCCCCAACTGGAAGATTGTCCCCTGCCAAAGGCCAGCACTGCTGAAGTTGAAAAGCCCTAGGAATTATCAAAGGAAACCATTCTGGAAGCCACTTTTCAAGAAGGAAACAGGATTTGGGGAGTGTCAGCTCCCGCTTCCAAGCCCCTCCCACTGCTTGATGCTTGATGCATCCCTCCTGGCCCGACTCTCGCCCCAACACGTCCACGTGCAGCATGCAGACCTCTGGACTTGCTGCCC